AGCGCAGCAACGGGACGATTTATAGGTTGTAGGAGAGAGAAGCAACTAAACCCCAACGTCTTTAGGACACTTTGCTCACGTAACCAAAGGGCAGAGCAGAGCGATCCCAGGTTCCCATTCGCCGCTCAGTAACGCGTTGAGAGCTCGGGCGTTGCCTTGCTCTCCTGCCCCACCCAGAGCACAGACAGTGTCTCCAACCCCGTTCTCACGACCGCTCCAGCAACAGCCAGCATCGATGACAGACACCACCGTGTTCCGTGAAATGAGTCTCACTCACCAAGAGACGGAGAAACATTTTCTAGAATTTGTTTGCTAAATTTCCTTCCAGTCTTGTAGAGACTGAACCCCATGGTCCTGCTCCCTAGGAGCCCAAGGAGAGAAACATCTGAAGGTGGAAGAAAGGGTGATGTTGGTTTGTGGGTGACCAGCCATGTCCAGATACAGGCAGAGAAACACCAAGGAAAGAGAGTGGGTTATCACTAGATCCATCTTTTTGCGAGTGACATGCTTCAAAATCCCGTTGTCTTCCTCCCTGCCAGACTCCCAAGACCAACATGGGTTAAAGCCCATGAGTTCTTTTGACATTTGATTCTGATTTTTTAAGCGTTGGGTTTTTACATTTTTCTTCTCTCATTTTAAGAGTTTCACTTTCCTACTGTCTCTGTATGTGTTACTATAGATTTGTAAATTTTTGCATAAATTTTTGTGATTCTGAACACTCGTAATCACGGAGCGCGAACGTCGGAGGTTCGTGCAGGGTTGCTGCAGGCGCGTTCTGCTCTCCCACCCACGCTCTTTGCGGAAAGCTCAGAGAGGGAACCAGGTACTCCAGGTTGGCGCCCTCCCACACCAGTCCCCTTGGCAGAGCACCACTTAGACACCTGAAGGCATCTCAATTAAGAGAATTACCATCCAAATTAAGCCAGCAGCCATTGCCATTAATATATTAGCTTAATTGATTCCTTGGGAACATGCAAAGAAGCGGTTTCCCGAAACGTGTGCGGTGATAATGAGGTGTCACATAGTGAGCGTAAGAGAAAAGTACAGCTATGCAGTTCTTCACGCAGCTGGCTCTTGCCAGAAGCACTGTTGAAAATTTCGGTAAAGATTTGTGCACCTCGATTTGTATCTTTGACCCCGGTCTTAGAAAAAAAAACTAAATTTCCAGTGTCTGTTATGAGTCAGTCAACACCCTCTTCTTTTTTTTGAAACATCTAACCCTTTCTGACTATCCTCTTTCCTGTCTTATTTCTGCTTTGACAGTTGTATAATCAAGGACCATGTGTCAGTTTCTGCCAAGTTTTACATAAATCCTTATGCAAATGGCTAACGAAAGAAGCCAGAGTCTTTGTTACAAGCGCATCACGTTTTATAATCTTGTCCAGTGTCAAGTTGAATATTAGATATCATCAAAACACTAAAACTATTTGGAAGAACCACTGTGTAGCATGTTCTTGCAGGAAACCATAAAATAATTCGTGTTCTCAATAATGTCCATTAGTGGAGAAGCAGACTTATAAACTGTTCCTTCCATGGAATTCTGTACACAGCAATAAACTGAAATACCATAATAAGGTATTTCAAATGTATTTCATTGTAAACACATTCAACAATCCAGCTGGTTTTAATAAGCCCTTGATGAGTCCTGTGATCACATTCTTGAAAAAGTAACAATATTAATGTATTACTGAGATATACATTATAGGAACTAAAAGGCAAACATCACAAAATTCATCCCTGGGCTCTTCACTGGAAAGATTAAATATATCATGGAAGACCAGCCCTCTGCTGAATCCTTTCATATATGTATATATTATGTTATATGCATGTGTTATATTGTGCATACATAAATGTATACATACAAACTCATACATACACACATAGTATATATATATATATACACCACATCAGCTGAATGAGAGGTGTGTGTGATCCAAATTCAAAATTCTATTGTATAAGACTTCAATACATACAGGCATGATATACATTTTAAATACATTCTGTGGTGTAGGATTTCAGCATTTGATCTATTTGAACTTCTGGTAGAGCATTTCTGTTGGTATTAAAGCTTGGTAAAAACTTTGAGATTTAAACAGTTTAAAACTCAGTACATTTTGTTTATTTTCTATGCTCTCTTTTCTTCCACCTTACTGAGGTATAATTTACAAATAAAAAGTACATATTGAAGGTGCAGCATCTATAAAAATAGAATATTATCAGCCACAAAAAATGAAATCTTGCCATTTGCAACAACATGGATAAGTCTAGAAGGTGGTGTTAAGTGAAATAAAACATTTGACATTTTTGGTAAGGAAATAAATACTCAGGAGCATATATTGCTTATGCCACTCTTACCTGTCACCTTCACAGTCAGTTTTTCTAAACCCCGCGAGTTTCCCCACAGACATGGGTGCTGTACACTCGCGGCGTGTTTCCGTCTCGGGCTTCCGGTGGGAAGACCCCGGACACGAGGCGCACACAGTGTGGAGAGGATGCCCAATCCATGCAGGAGAGACAGGGTCCCCAGCACAGGGAAGGTGCGCAGGGCTGAGCAGGGCGACAGGAGGCAGGAGCTGGAGCCAGGCTTGGCTTTCCGGACAGGTGGGCAGGAACATCACCCGCTCTTTCCTGCTGTTGCAAGATGTTGCTTGGAAATACGGCTGGATTTGAGCTGATGCCAGAGAATGTGCATCACAGCATTCCAACAGATCCGCACATCCTTGTGCTGAGCAAACCATTCTCTCCTTGAGACAGAGTCTTACTCTTTGCCTGGGGTAGAGTGCCCTGGCATCAGCCTAGCCCACAGAAACCTGGGCTAGCCCTCAAACTCCTGGGCTCAAGCGATCCTTCTGCCTCACCCTCCCAAGTAGCTGGGACTATAGGCACACACCACCATGCCGGGCTCGTTTTTTTCTATATGTTTTTAGTTGGTCAATTAATTTCTATCTATTTTGAGTAGAGACGAGGTCTCACTCTTGCTCAGGCTGGTTTTGAACTCCTGACCTTGAGCAATCCTCCTGCCTTGGCCTCCCAGAATGCTAGGATTACCCGCGTGAGCCACCATGCCTGGCCTACACACACTTTTTTATAATTCATCCAAGAAAAGAGTTTCTTTTACCTCTGAAATTGCAGAAGTAATGTATTTCAATATTGTATAAATGTCTCCATCACACACTTTTGTCCCTGAACACATCTCAATCCCTACAATATAAAATACTTGTTTTCATTTGAACCCCCATGGAAACAGATGTTGTCTATTCACCATTCATTCAACTCAACACCTAATATGCCCACCAAGCAAACAAACTCAATGGTTTTAGTACTTCCTTCCTGCAGACTGACTATGTAACCTTCAAATCTTTTCTAAATTTTTAATATCATGATTTAGCTTCCTAGAGACTAAACAGAATATTCTAATTATTTAAAAGTATATAAATGAAGAATTTTTTTTCTATCTTTCCCTTGTTTATGTTACCACTGCTCATACTAATAACTTATAATAGGCAATGATCTTGCACTTCCGTAGGTGCATACACTAATTTATTAATTTTTCACAACCGCCCTCTAAGGTGAACACAATTACTACCTCTTTTACAGATGAGAAATCTAAAGCCCAAGGAAGTTAATTAACTTTCCCAAATTTGTGCAATTACTAAGTGGTAGAGCTGGTAACTAAAGGGCTGAGGACAGTATAAATTTGAATGAATAAGCCATTGAATAGCATATAGGAAAGGTACAGTTTGGATTACCACAGTGGATATCCCAGAGAGCAACACAGCTCTAGCTTACTGAGAAGCATGTGATAAAACTTGGAGGCTTTGGACGGAGCAAAGACAGCTCAGAAATTCCTCAGTCTTTAAGAAGAATGCCTATGACACCCTGCATTTGTACCTAGTTCTGTTTATTAAAGCCTGTATTTTCCAATAAAACACTGGGATTTTAGAATTAAAATAAGCCAACACAAAGCCAAAAGGCATCTGTAATGAACACTTTACTGAATCTAAAATCAGAACTTTTTTGCTTGTAGACCTGGGAACCAAAGAGCCTTAAGAGAGAGAGCTATAAACATGACACATATTTTAATAAAATACAAAAGTGGAGAGGTGATCATGTTAGACCCAGAACTATTGTTAATAACTCAATAACTAGCAAACAGTAGGGCTCAGTAAATTTACTGTTAGTATATAGATTCCTTTCAAGATTGTTTATTTTAGTGAAATCCATACCTTTAACTGGTTTTTGACAGTTTTTTTAAAAAATCAAATCGATTTGAAAATGTTCCACCTTTTTTTTTTCTTTTCACAGGTAGGCATCTATATTGAACTTAAAGCAAATAAAAGAAAATTCATTTTATATTCAATGAAACTACGATTTAAAATGTAGCACCATGATTGCAACTCTGTATGCAAAACTTATAGAGAAATAACACGGTGTAGCCCTCTTTTATTCCTCTGGGGTAAAACACATATTCTACTCAATGTATTTAAGATGAGAAATGGGAAAAAGGGCGGAGAAACGTTAACTTTTTGGAAAACTCATATAGCTCATGAGAAGAACATATGAACAGTGTCATTTGGAAAACAGTATCTGAGAGACAGAATCCTTTGCATCTGAGCATAGTGAGAGCATGTCTAACGCTTAGCAGCGCTGCGCGGAAACACTGCGGAACCTCAGAGAGTGTCTGTTAGGGCAGATGAGACCTGGATTGCGAAAGACGTAACTCATGTCAAAAGGCACTGCGACACTCGAAGGAAGAGCATCAACGCAATCTCCAAAATCACTACCAGGGCCACGCCGAGAACATGCACCTTACGTTTGCATCTCAGACTGCTTTCTAATGAACATGGGTATCTAGACACAAAAACGCCAAAATGCAGCATGAACTCTTTAATTCAGACAGGAGAATGTGAGGGTGCCTGCCCCGGCCGGGCCGTTTGCCTACACAGGTGACCTTGTGGAGGGTCGGCTGCGCTCAGCACGTGGAGGGGCGGGGGACTCACCTTGTCTGGGTCGGAGGTGGTGATGACCCACACGCAGTGGGCGTTGTCTTCATACTGGACGGGGTAGTTCGGGGAGGTGATGACTCCACTTGGTCCCCGCAGGTTGGATCCACACGTTCTAGCTGGAAACACAGAGAAGCGGTGTTATTTGCTGCAGCTTTTCATTAGCATGGTAGAGACGTCATAGTCACGTGGAACTCCAAGCCCACTGTTATCTGGTCACGACGAGAAACGGTGCAGGAACTCAGGTTGGCAAGTGGATTTTGCTCAGCCTTAGGCATCCTCGGTTTGGTACCTGTGAGGTTGTGCTGGGACACCTTCTTATATTATTTCCAAAGGCATGCCTATCCACCAAAGGATATCACTCATGAGAGTGCCATGGATAATGTCAATAGTAAAGCAATCCATTTCTTTTTTTTTTAATTTCATCATATTATGGGGCTAAAAATGTTGTTAAGGTTACCTAGATTGCCCTTGCTTCCCCTCCCCCCTAGGGAGAGGCAAAGATATAAAAAGTAACCAAAATGTCAACAAAACAAAACAAAACAAAAACATTTATTGGGAGTTGGGCAGGTGGGAGTGGGGAGGATGGGATGGGCATATACACACATAATGAGTCCAATGCATACCACCTTTGAACGTAATCCATTTCCAATCCTGTTTCTGACTAAAGAGAGTCTTCATATACATCTGGTTGTACAGAGAGTCCCTATAGACACTTAGCTGTACACACATGCGATAAGATTGGAGAAAGGGCCCCTACAGTGGGATTCATCCAGAGTTAATATATGCTATATATTAACCTCGGATAAGTAGCTTCAACTCTCACAGCTTTGTCCTTTCAACTTCAAAGGAGGATTTTGGAGAAAGAGCTCCAAAGTCACTTTCAAGCTTTAGACTCCATTCTACGATAAACTATACCAATTTCTTTACAGCACAATGCAAATAAGAACTTAAAATATTACTGGAAGTTTAAAGAAAGAAAATAGAAGTGGGGATCCTAAAAGGAAAAAAGAAAATATCTTAAAGTTGAAATGAAAAACCAAATGAAGCATAGAAATTGTGTCATCCAGTATATATGATTCCATTTGGAATATAAAAATAATTTAATTGACTTCCACTTGAAGAAAGGTTTTTTTTTTTCTTTTCAAATAAATAGACAAATTTTGGAAATCTAACGTTGGCCTGGACTCTAGTCTTAACACTAATAATTTAAACTGAGTTTGAGAATGCAGAAGAGACTAATTTTGGGAGAAGGAATGAATATAAGAGAACCTCTGCTTCATTTTTCTATGATACAAGACATCGTATCACACAAACTGAGAAAACTGTTCCCAAGGAAGGATTAATCTGAATCATAACCCACATCTCTTCCTCCCTCGCCCTGGCTGAGCACCTGCTCCATGTCAGTCTTCCCACCAGAGTCCTCAGCTGCAAAACCCAACAGACCAGGACCCCAAGCTTTGAAGGACGGTCTCTGGGTAGAGGGTAGGAGTAACCATCGAACCCAGCTTTTCCGAACTGCCGCCCACACTGGCCAATTCTCCCGTCCATTTATAGTGATATAAGAGTAATACGAACCATGGCTATTCCTAATAATGCTTCTGTTCTCTGTTGTGACTATTAATCTACCGATCTACCTTTGCTGTCAGGTCTGCACTCCTGATCTTAGCAACAGCGTCTTTCCTTGGCTACCTGCGTGTATCCTCAGCACCGTGTCTGATGCCCACAGTCCCTGTTGTGGAAAAATGGGACAAGATGACTTCAGACAATTTTTCAGTTACTTAGCACTTACTATGGAAATAACTAGCTAAAAATCAACCTACTATACAGCGAAAAAAATGTTAAATTTAACTTTTAAAATATTGTCATTTACCATCCAAATGAACGTGATTTTTAAAGTAAAGATGGATAAAAGATTATGTGGCTTTCAAAACTCGGTAGGTGTGTCACTGGTCTGTAATAGGCCATCCAACAAAGACCTGAGCACAAGCATGGACATCTCCTACACTCTCATAGTCCCTTCTCTAATGAGCCTATTTTTAGGAAGATGTTCTCAGAGAGGAAATGCACATCAAATGTAAAATTTCCCTGGAGCACTTGAATGCTAACAGTCTCAAATAGAAAATCTTAGAAGAAAAGTTAGCACCAACAAAATCTGAGTGATAATATCTCTATGCTCTGGTTTTCATAGGTTCTTACATTTTCGTAACTAATAGTTATTGCAAATATAATTTAGCATTAGTGAATATTTGTTGATTTAGTTATGCATCTATGGAACCACATTGCATTTCTAAGTCTGTATTTTAAACTTTAAAAAAACGCACCTGAATGATCTATGCACCTGAATGATCTAGACACACCTGAATGATCTATGCACCTGAATGATCTAGACGCACCTGAATGATCTAGATTTAGACAGAACCTAAAAACCCTCACGCTCCTACTGACGATCTGTTCTCATCCAGTCCTGGTCCCCAGTGTCACCTGCTGGGAAATTCACCAATGCTGACACACCATCCATGGCCTTGTGGCCCAGCTGCTAGCTTTGAAGCGTGGCCCCTAACTTGACTTATTAATATTGGCTACCAGCATTCATGAAATTTCTCTTGTCAATTGTTTGTGGAAACTTGATTTTTAGTGATTATATTTTTTTTTTTACTGAGGTGAAAAACTGTTAGTACAATTTGTATAAAAGACCAGCACATCCACCATATTTTTCAAGCGTCCACAGCACTGCATTTCACGCAGAGCATGTCATAGATCCAGTTTCTTCAGAGACATCCTTTACCAAAAGCTGTCAAATTAACCCATAAAATAATTTTTCTTTTGTGAGCAAATATATCTCTATCTTTGCAACACATTTTTAATAATACATTATTTTTATTATTTTTTCCACACTTTATTATGCCTTGAAAATAGTCATCTGAGATGAAAAGTGAGAGAATATTCAGTGCAGAGTTGTTTGTTTTTTCTGTTTTGTTCATTTGTCTAACTTTGGCAGAACAATTCCTGCAATTGGATAGTTTCCTCAATAAATACTTGTTATAACTTTTGGATAGGGGTAACAACCTCAAGTCACATGATCTAACTGTGATTATTTAATTGTAATCCTTCTTCTTAGGAAACTACTTAAAGTTTTAGCTACTGCCTCTGTCTTAGCCCATTCTAGATCTTTTCCATCCTCATCACCTGCACCTTCCCCATCTGACAATCCTCTCCTCATCCCACCAATGACAACTCACCAGCTACTGAACTGCTTCCACGCATCAGGGTTTGCTATGAGCCACAGCTGCCCTCAATTTCCTCATCGGCAGCTACTCAGAGTTCACTCATGCACGCATAGAGTCTCTATCAAACAGTGATGTGACTTGAGTTAGCAGGGTCTCCACCGGCTAACACCCACGCAGTGAAGGTCATGTGACTGTCGTCTTCCTGCCATCCTGCAGCCCACATGGTTCCCTGGGTTTTCTTTCTAATCTGTGGTTCCGCACCCGGAAGGGTTGTGTTAATTTCTGAATCTTGGCACGCAGAGGGGAGATCCCACACACGGAACTTCCTCTGGCACACTCCAGGTCTTCTTAATCCTCCTCCATCAGCTCCAGCACCAGAAGATTTTTTTTTTTGCCATATCTACTGTAGGTTAAATTTTTGAAGGTTTAACATTTGGAAAGAAGAAAAAGAACTAGAGAAGAAGGTGGACCAGGCTGAGGGGTAAGAGTTGAAGCAGGACTTAGAGTCTGATTGACCTGGAGCCGATGAGTGAGAATGGACAGGTTAGAAAGCTCAGGAATCGCCAGCTGGGGCATGCATGCTGCCCCCTACCGCTAGGTCACGGCGAGTCAGATCCATGAGGGAGAAGCCAGCCAGTAAGGCAGGAAGAAGACATGGGTGGTGAGGAAATCTGGATGATGCACACAGGACCTGCAGCAGGTGAACGGCTGGTATCAGTTTACCTACAAGCATCATCTGTGTTGATTTGCTGGCTGTTTTTGTGCCATATTTGTATGTTAATTCAACTGATGTTCTGGGAGTTAATAAAATGGTGCCATAAGATCTGACCCAGCAGGCTAGAAATCTGAGGCCTCATCACCTTGCCTGTCTCTTCACTTGTGGACTCTGCTGGTTTCTCACTTCCTGCTAAAAATGGATTGTGCAGCTCCTCACACAGGTGGGTCACTGAGGGCCAGCTCTTCTGATTGGAATGGGACTACTGTGCAGTGTCTTTGTGGGCAGGGGGACCTCTTCCTCTGCAGTACCTCCTGAACTAAACAAGCGTTCAATTGATTAACATAGTATTTAATTAAGCAACATATTAAATAATTTAGGAATCACCATATACTGGTGGTCAGCAAGTTTTAGACCAAGGTCTTTCTCTACAAATTCCCATCACTGGAATATGTACATGATACTAATATGTATTACAGTCAAACACCACTTTCAACTCCTGCAAAAGTCTTGCCCTTTGTCAAGATCCTCCTGAAAATGTAGCACCTAATCGAGAGTGATGTTCACTCATGTGCTTGATAAATGTCCTTGGATACTAACTGTGACCTAATGTGCTGCTGATGTTATTTGTTTAACAGTTTTCTAAACTTGTAAACTCAAATTCCATATATCTTACTCAAACTCATATAAGTCTTCCCAATAAAAGGTAGAATTCACAGAATGACAAATTGGAAATATATCAAGAGGGGAGGTGAAAAGGAAGAAGAAAACTAACCAGTTTTGAATGCCAGTGCATGCCATTTATCCATTTAATCAATAAATACTTATTAAGCACAAAGTACATTTGTTTCATATAATTTATCCCACTTAATACAAAGTAATAACTTATCTATTTATTTAAATTCAGTTCCAGGAAATCTTACTATTCTATGGTAACTGCTCAATTAATCAAGTTAATTAAAAGAAGGAATATTCTAATCAACTAAATTTGAATTAGTGGGACAGCAAGACTCACATTAGAAGCTTCTTTCTTTCATGCAAATTGATAATTATATTGAATAATCTATTTCTGGTATATTTTCAGGAGACAGCATTTTTTCCTTTTTTTTTTTGTCAACCGCAGTGAAGACAACAGCTGCAGAAGTTAGGAGCTTGATTTTCTTTATCTCATCTG